TTCACGATGTTCCCAAAAGCTTTTTCCCTTTCTTTCTTGTTTGTGGTCTCGATTGATTTCCGTATCCACTTCGTCATGATCTCTCGTAACTTCTGGTAGGTCTTATCCGGATCCTTATCCAACATGTTGTCGTACACAGACAAGTCTAACGCCATAACTTTGGAATCCTTAATCTTATCCCAAAGCAGGTTGCGAAGTGCTTTGTCAGGAAGCATGTCGTCCGCATCCATACCTGATATGATCTCATCCCACTGTCCAAGGAATCTGGATAGTTGACTATCCCCAGGAAACTTTAGATCGAATAAGTGCTTGGATGCATACATCACATCAACGTTGTCGGCACTCCGGAAACTATCGACGATCAACGCTAACATTTCTCGTCCCTTGACCATTCCAGGAGTTGTGCCTCTCGCACGTCTCTGCATCATCTGCCTCACCTTCAGTTGTACGTCATGAGATCTCTCACCTGCTGCGTGGATGATCGTATGTAGGGTGATACCTAGCTTGGCGTCTATGCTAGCGAATCTTGCTTCGCCTGATGTCTCGAGTAGAAATGGGTCATATGGTGATCTGAAGGCATCCGAGAGCCATTGGATCCAGTCTTCTTGTTTCTCGTCGCCCGATGCCGTCACGACTGCCGCTACAACCTGGGATTTCCAAACCTCCAGGTCGTGTATCTTGGGCCATGCAGGGATGTTGATCTTCTCGTGTTCCTTCCGAGATATCTTGGAGCCACCTGAGCTAGAGGATGAAGCGGCACCATGTTCGGTTGCGGCTGCATTCTCTGCACTTGTGCGCTCCTCTTCGTACCTCTTCCGGTACTTATTCCTCTCATCTCTGAGCCGTGATGCATGCGCTTCGAATTCCATCATGTCCTGTTGGTTCTGCATCATACCTTCGTAGTACTCAATTGCCTCTTTCTCCTCGGACCTTAATAACTTTTCAGTACGTTCAAGTTCCGCTCTAAGCTTGGTCATCATCTCATTCTCCACACTGGGTTCTGATCCCATGTCTGGTGGTTTCAACTTCAGTGCGACCTTCAATTGTGCTTCACTTGCGCTTGATTCGATCAATTCTTCCTGAAGACGTTTCAGCATCCTCTCTTTACGTAGAATGTCCTCTTCCAACATGTTCACCTTGGCTTCGGCCTTCTTGAGTTCGGCGCTAGATGGTTGAAACGGTCGATCGGATCCTTGAATCCTCGTCTGAGTCAACTCCTCGTTCGCCTTCTTCAATTGCTCTCTGATGCTCAAGATGAACTTGTCCTGAGTATTAGATCGGTTGTTGAGCTCCTCATTCTCTTCTGATAACCATTTGATCTTGTTTGCATACATTGCTTCCCTCATCTTCATTTCCTCAGCATATTCGTGTTTGTTTCTGGCACTCTGCCTTTGTAGTCCAACCAACTCCTGTCTACACAGATCCTTGACGTTCTCAGCATCTGCGATTGTAGTCATGACCTCGGTTACGGCTCGATCTCTTTCCGCCGATATAGCCTGGATCTCTTCCGTGCCGATGTTCACAACTTGACTAACCATCTCTGCGCTGTTGCGATCAGCGTACTCCCCTAACTGGGTGAGACGATCCCGCATTGCCACACGATCAGTGTCCATCTGGTATTGCAGATCGTGTGCTGCTGAGAGCAAACAGTCTCTGGATTCTGTAAGTTGGGAGATTCTTCGTTGATTTCCATATCCTTCGACGTAACATTCTTCGAGGTGTGCCATCACTACTTCGTGGACTTCTGTCTCGTGTTGTATAATCTGGTTCTGTCTCTGCTCACATTCGACCATCCATGCGTTCTGGTGGTTCAACATATGCACTTCGGCAAGTAGTTGCGCACACTTCGCATTCAGGTCTCCATCGGCCCGTGCTAGTTGTAGGTTGTCAGTGCTTGCCCTTGCTCCATCTCCAGCTTCGCTGTCCGACGGCACTGGTACAGCTGACCCATCCTGCAATGCTAACACTCTCACAGCTCCGGTGTCAGTCCTCCTCCTTGTCTCCCTAGGGCTACGGCCTGATCTCGGTGTCCCCCCCGGTGGTGTCGAGTGCGCTGACGGGGAACGACTTCGTGCTCTACCTGTCGCATCTTCTCTCACCACTGTCAGAGTCTCCGCTTCGATCGTACCTGGACTAGAGTTGTGGGATGCACTCATCCGATCTGCGGCCGCAGCAGCTGCTCCAAAAGATGCAGTGCTGGCGTCGGATTGGTCCATCTTCAGTGACTGAGGGTAACTGATCTATCCGATGCGTGTGCGTTTGGATGGTGTTGTGTAAGGCCGCAGCTCGTACCCAGCTCAAAGGAGTCTGGATACGGCTGATAACCTGCGAACGGATGGAAAGGTGTGCCCTGGCCCCGTTCTAGCTCTTAGGTCAACATGAAGCTCGCGCGCTAAAGCTCCTTTTTACCTGGTTGGGCACTTGAGCCAAAAGTATATGGCATGTACCTGTATAGCGACTATACTGGGACCCCATCCCTATTGACATACAATATAGGATTTATACGATGTTTACACTACAAAATACCAGGTGGTTCCCGAACTCTTTTAGAGGGTCTTCGCGGTTTGGGCGACCTATCGCAAAATATCAAAGACTAGACCTGCGAGTATCCTGAAGCTCAGCTTTTCCACTCTACAAACGCTGAAGAAGGCGGCTGAATGTTTTCTCTTGGATGGCCACAGGGGGAAGTGCTCAATGATCTGAAGTCAGCCAAAAACATTGCAAATCACATGTTAGTGGCTCATGTCCACTGATGCCTTCAAACATATCCTGTACCACTCCGAAACACGAACACTCAGTGCAAAAGCATCCGACATACAGCGGATTACAGGAGTACAGTTGCATGGAGATAGTGCAGGATGTCTTTTCCAAGGGGGGCTCGAGAGGTCTTCCTTCAATGAATGGAACGACCCAGTCAGCTTTTGGGAGGGACCTGGCAACACGTGTAGCATAAGTCCTTTCCTGCTGCCTGGGTACCCTCAGCATCTTCTTCGTGATATTTGGTCCAAGCTTGCATGTTCAATTGACCTCTTGGACAGCAAGGGCAGTCGGCTCGACTTGGCCAAACGTGCAGAAGGGGCTTGGGCGTCTTGTCATTGACCTCCAGTCATTGACCTCCACTCCGATGGTGGTCCAAGTAGAGTGATGATGTCCAACTTAACATATATATATATATATATATTCAAAAGCAACTGTTCCTTCTGTATTACACATAAACATCATTGGACCCTCCTACTGAGAGTGTTGACCCTGCATAGAAATAGAAGGGGAGTTCGGGCCCTCAAAACCTTCACCTTTGAGGCTCCTTGATTGTACATTGTGAAGCAACCAAACTCTTCCCAAGCCAAGAAAAGTCCCAAACTAAAAAGCAAGCTGAGCGCGTCAGACGCGCGGCCACGGGTCCAGTGCCACGTAGTGTAGCACTTTTAGGACCCGAAGAAGCAGGGCCAAAGAAAAAGCTGCCGCTCATCGTGTCTCGGTCCTCGAACCTCGGCGGATCCCAAAACCAATCTGATGCAAACAGGACCATGCTGCCCTGCCTCCCAAGCTGTTCGACCCTGATTTCATTGCGTCAAATCCACAACCAGGTCAACGACGGCTGATCCACCCGGAGCGGACCGTTACCGGTCACGGGTCCCGGTTGGCTTTCGGTTGGATTGCAGATTGGTTTATGTTGGTTTGATGTTTGCCTATAGGGCCCCTTCTTAGTTGGATCACAATACTAAGAAAGAACATCAAAACCAACACAAGCCGAGTTCCCCAACTTGGAAGGAGGGGAGCAGAAAGTCAACGACCTCCAGAACTTCGCTAAGGCGGGGGCACCTCGCACCCCCAACAAACCCTCAAACCGCCAATGATATCCAGCACCTTCCATCTGGGGTCAACAATGGAAGCTAAACCACTCCAGACTCCAATGATCCTCCAATCCAGCTACGTTATAGAAACAAAAAGCTACGCACGGTGGAGGCCATCGCTATTAGGTTGGAGGCCATTACTACTAGGTAACAAGAAGCTACTAGTAACTAAGAGATTGTGTGTATTGCTCAATCCGGGAGACCCTCTGACTCTCGCCCTGGCTAGAGGTGGACTGGTCTATGTTCCAAACCCGCACCAGAGGGCCCAGCAACTACGCTGGTTCGCTCTCCCTTCGACCACCAAACTCCGGCGATGGCGCTGGACTGCAGTCCAGCGTGGTTATAGCCACCAAAAACGGCGAATTCCCCAGGAAACCGACCAGAAACAGTCTCGGAATTCCCCAATTTTAGCCACTTGTGGATCTCTTGCGCAAACGGGTTCCAACATGTTCATTGTTTGGTCAGGGGTTTCGTTGGCCCGGTGGCTCTCCTGTTTACCACTATTTCCCGGCCTCATGGACTCATCTCCACCGCGTCTGCCGAGTGTGCGCGAGGGTAGTCCTACGCAGAAAAAGTCAGGCCAAACTTGACAGACTTCTCGACAGTTTGCCGCGGCCAAAACGAAAACACGACAGTTTTTCGCCCAAAACCCATGAGCTTAGATGACATGGGAGTCCTCCCCCAATTGTCAAACCAAGCTCACGATTTCGTTCCAAAGAAAAAGGGTGGCGATGGAGGTGTGTCGACACCTGTGTCGAACCGAAGCTCCATCGGTGCGGGTGCGAAGCCTGGCGCGAAGCGCCTGGCGCCTCAGTCCGACTGGTGACCAACTGCCAAGGGGTAGGACTCGTCCTTGGAGTCCAGGGTTTTTCATGTTCATCCTCTCCACAAAGGGGTAGACTCCCAGACCTCCCAGACCTCCACACGACGAATGAGACTGAAAAAATAGGACTGCCGATCAGTTAGTTAGACCCGTCAACGACCATGCTGGTCCCGATCGGTCGTTTTTTTCTCCAGTCGTCTTTTGTGCGTCTGGGAGACCTGGATCAAACCACTCTGCCTTTTCTTCATGCCTTTGGGATCCTTTTGGGTTGCGTTGTTGTTTAAGATGAAAAGGCAGACATGTTGCACAGTTCGAAGATCCAGCTATTTATGACACCTTTGGAGGATGAGGAACCATGCCATGTCTGGAAGAGGCTCCCTACTGCTTGGTTCGAGCCTCCGTGCACCGGAGTGGTGCTCCGCAACCGGCGCAACCGGCACTCGCCGTTCCTTGAGGATGGTCTCATCCAGCATGGCGCTGCTGGAGCGGCGCTTCTGGGTCACGTGCCGCGAAAAGGCGGTGTTCCGGTGGTCCGGCTCGATCACGCTACCCATACACCTGGAGATGGATAGAGAGACGAAGAACGACGTAGGTGGTTGGTGGGCTTCTACTTTGGGTGGTTGGTGGGGACCTCTTGAAAGGAGTCAAGAAGAAGACCTAGAAGACCTCTGAATCACCTCTGAGTTGCATCAAGATGGAGTAAATATTCTTGGGGTTCCCGCAACTGGTATGGCAAGCCATGTGGTGTGTGTGGTCCTGTGTGATCCCTACGGTTCTTAAGCTCGCTTTGGCCCAGGATCTCCACGCTTCGCTCCCCTCCGCGAGCTTCGGTCAGTCGAAAAAGCTTCGCGGACCCGAGATGGACACATAGCACATCAAGCACGCATAGAGGGTGGACCGGATGGAAGTTTCAAGGGATGTTTGTTCAGCCGCCGCACGAATTCATTGTCTTAACGTCTTGATTCTTAATGTATCGCTGTACGCCAGATAAAGACACTTCGGCTAGTCTAGATGGCTGTTTGGTAAAAAGAGCAGAAAGGAGCGCTCTGAGCGGCGCGTTTTTGCATTGTTTCATTTTGTTTGTATTTTGTTTCTATATTTGTATTGCGTTTCTATTGATTTTTGTGCCACTGAAAGAATACTATTCTGCCTCAACCCCCCCCCCTCCCCCAAAGGCAATTTCCAAAATTCCAATTTTCCAAAAAAAACAAAGAAACCAAAAAAAACAAAAAAAAAACAATTGTGCCAGGACTTTGCCTCACCCCCTCTTCCCCCCATGGTCTGTGCAGAATTGTTTTTTTTGGTTTTTTTGGTTTCTTTGGTTTTTTTGGAAAATTGGAATTTTGGAAAATTGGAATTTTGGATTTTTTGATTTCCTGGGATGTTTTAAATTTTCAATTTCCTTGGAAGTAGACAATACTACCACTTTCTCTCAATTCCAGAACAGTCTCTGAAACCCTCAGTGATTTGTTCATTAGGGTCTAATAATGCTCCTTCTGCTCCTTTAACTCGAAAATTGGTAATACCTGACATTTTAGAATTATAACCAGTAAAATTGACATCTGCAATTTTTTCAAATGACATACCAATAATGAATTTGTTCTTTCTGTATTGACGATACGAAAAACTTAAACTGTCATGTACTGTATAGCTCTTCTTAAATAGTAAAAGATTTATGATAATGATTGCGCTTCAAATTCTGTGTATTTCTGGGAATTGCTTAATTGAATTTGCCAACTTAAACTACGGGTGGCATCTTGAAAACCTTTGTACCTTGTAAGTCATTTGTATCAGCATTACCAGTATCATTAATTCTTCCATAGATCATAGGATTAATTCCATCTCTTATATACATAATTGTCAGGTAAGTATCGGTTCAGTTCTTCACCACTCCTTGGAGTTCTAAATAAGGTAATGAATGCTCCAGTCAGTTTAGAAGATGATTTTACAATATTCATATTAATTTCACCACCACCAGCATTGAATGTTTGGGTGATTGTGTGATAACAATTTGTAATGTTTCTTATCTTTGCCATTCCGCCCCCTTCTATGTCCTGCCATTCTAACACTCAATGGCTGACAAGTAGCACCAATATAGACATCGTCATTTTGTCATTTAGTATTCTGTAAAAGTTTGCCTTGGAGTAATCCACCATAACATTTAGTTTAAATGTTGTTTTTTAAATGAGTGATTGGGGTTAAATCCATTGCTTATATTGGTGCCGGGATTGATGTTCCAAAGGCCGTTCCCTTCAAAATTGATATAGCTGTGGCTCATTAAAGGGTTAGGTTCTTTCAAATCAGAAGTTACAGCGTAACCATCCAACATTGAAACAATATCGGATGGATTGAGGTAGTCAAGTCTTTTGGGACTTTTGTTCCTTTCCTTTTTTTTTGTTGTAGGGGTAGCATAGGTTGTTGTAGCAAATGTATTAGGTTGTTCTTGATTGATCTTATTACAGCACTTGCAAGGTTATGCCCAACCAAACGGGTTATTTCTGGTGACTTTTCCAATTCTTCTATAACATGTTTGTATTTCTCACTGTGATGAACATTTCTAGTAGGTACTAATAACAGATCATCCATAATATCCCTTGTTAAAGATCCATCACAACCACCTGTGCCACTTATGTATAAAGTCTTACTTGTTTTGTAAAAAGCACTTGGTGATGAATAGGCATTCCATAAGCCCCTGCGGTCTTCTATCTTCTCCTTGTTTGCTATATTTTTCTCTTCAGCATATAGTGTTCTATGTTGTTTAAAGTGATCATTTAAGTTTCTTGTAAAGTCATTCATTCTATCATTCCAATTTTGGTTCTTTTTTTTCATAATCACTGTAGGTTTCTTGACCGATCTTACTGAATAACATCTGGGCGCTTCCAGGCAGATCCTTCCAGGCAATGTCAGACACATCAATCATTCTCAAGAAAACGCATGAAAAAGGTTGAAAAATGCTAATTTTCATCGAAAAACGCGCCGCTCACAGCGCTCCCCTCTCAAAAAGAGTAGGCCCCAAAGCCCCAAACCAAATTATTCACCTCCATGGGAATGTTCATTCTGGCGATTTTTGCTTCTTCCACGGGGTGCCATTGACCAACACCCTTCGCAGGCGACTGTTCCGCCCACACCATCGACAGGCGACTGCTCCGCCGTCTGTAGGGCTTCGGTGGACCATTGGAAGAGCAAATCCTGCGGAGCTTCGTTGGAAAAACAGTGCAATTGAATAGGGGTAAGGTTGGTTCTGTAAGTTATGCACCTGTGTTGGTATGACTTGAAAAAAGGTCCCTTCATGTTCGTTGGATAAATGTTATTGGGAGGGAGGAACAAGCAATGAATATTCTTGGAAGAAATTACGGAGGGCATTCGTCAGAGCCAACGCAAAACAATAATCACTAACAAAACATGAACGACCGAATACGACCCTGGACCCTCCTAAGTCGGGGCCACACAATTCTGCCGCTTTGGGGACCCAGAAAGGAAAGGGGTCGTGTGAAAAGGACAGTTTGGGGATGTTTCGGGTATGAAAAGACTCAAACAAAAGTGATCTCGTTCACCTCAGAGGATGCATGCTCCGGACCCCACTCTCTCGACCCAAAACCCCGATTGGCGGATCTTCCGGAAGCCGGAAGGTTTGGAGGATTCACCCCCAAAAGGACCGGGAAAAGGTTCCAAACATCCTGGGACCTGATCAACAACACCAAAAAACAAAACAGAACACAACCTGAAAAAAGAATACATACACAGCAAAAAGCAGAACCTTTTCCTATGTGTTTTCTTCAAACTAAAAAAAACAAAGCGGACACCCAGCCCTGAATCCTTCATTCCTTCGTTCTTCTCTCTCTCCGCCGCCTCGTCGGCCCAGGCATCGGTGAGATCCGCGGGATTCGACATGAAATGCTCCCAGAAAGCGACCTAAAGAGCGAGGAGAGCAGAGCAGCCGGTGCCGGCGCGAGCGAGGTTCTGCGCCGTTCTGCGTCGTTCTCTCTTGGGCCGGGACACACGCGGGAAGCAAAGATCGATTAGAGTAAGGGATGTAAGGGTCGATCTGGAGCGTTGTTTTGGGATCGGAGAGAGAGAACCAAAGTTCTTGTTTGGGGGAAGGAAACATGGGTTTCTGGGCCGGAGATGAACCAGTTTTACGGAGAGAGTAGCAAAGAACGCTGAAGAACGAGTGGGTTTGCGCGGCGTTTTGTGCATAGCGTTCGTTTGTTGCGCGGATGTGAAGTGGCAAACTGGAGATGACTGGAGGGTTCAAAAAGAATCCTAGGGCTCCAGTCGTATACCTTCGTTGATGCCGGCTGATGGCTTAGTGAGAGCGGAGAAGGCTCCAGGCCGGTCAGTGCTGAGGTGTCACACCACGTGGCCACAGCTGATGTCTGGAGTTCAGTTGAATCTGAGTTTGAGGGTTCAAGAGATCATGGATTTGGAAGAGACCCCACCATGGAACCTGAAAGACATTGAAAAACCACTGGTTTGCGTGGTTTGTGTCTAGTCTTCATGCCATCAGGTTCCAATCCTAAAAGGGTCTAAAAGGCGGGTCGCTCCCATCGGATGAAGCCCTCCGTCTTCTCGGGGCGCTCCGAAAAAGAGAAAACACACAGAGACGGACGGCTCTGTTTCGGAGTCGCGCCGAAAAGAAGCATTCCTTACATCGCTAAGAGAAGGTCTCCAACCCTGAGAATGTAGAGGGTTGCAGGGCGACTGGGCACAAATGGGAAGATCTGGCGACTGGGGGGTGGGGGAAAAAGAAGGCGAAGGCGGGTCGAACAAACATCGATTGATTCTCCGGTCCTTGGATGTCCTTGGTCCATTGGTTGCTGGACCAAGGACTGGCTATTTGATATTGGTCTCTTGGTGTTTGGCTATCACATGCCTCAACTTGATATTATCACACCTCTACATCCCATTGGGGAGCCAAGTTCTTAATCCAAACAATGTCTCTCGGAGTCTGTCCAACAATGTGCAAAGACCAGCTCTGTGTAATCTATGAAGGCTAGGGAAAGAGAGCTTCATTAGGTACGGCTCTCACACCAGCCACCCAGCCGCTGGTGTGTTTCAGCCCACTGCGAAGCTCGTTGGAGGGCACCTCTCTCCCTGCTCTGTAGCAGGAGACACCCTGATTCTCCATATCGGCTATTGCCTGGACCCTTCAAAGTACCTCAGAACATGGGACATCACCACTGACATCATCCGATACAAACAGGTATACTTGTACATACTTGTACTCATTTTCGGAGGTGCTTTGAGACTCCAGGTGGTTCTTAGTTGAAGGGATTGGAGTAACCTTCAGGTATCAAAATACTCGGAGTCTTCAAGTCTCCATTTCTCGCGGCATCAACCGCTGCTACCTCCCAACCAACCCTCAGGATCCAAGTACCTTCTAAGGTGATGTGTTGTCTCCACTCTTATGGTAGGTGCCAAAACGTCGGGTCCAGTCGTACCGAACCGGGTCGGTTCTGTACCAAAAACGGATCCCGGAGGGTGTCTTCACCGCTGATTCCGCTCCCCGCCCAGACAGCACGTGACGCCGCGGTCGGACTCTTGAAACGAACCCCAAGCGACGGCGTAGTGCTTCACCATGACGTCGTCCTTGAAGATCTCCTCCGTCGTCCGGTCGGCCGTGAAGCGACGACGAGGGACGAGGTTGGTTCGGTGAGACGTGCGCCCAGTCAAACGACCTCTCTGGGACACCAAAACCTGGGTCTATCCCAGTAAAACAGGACCAAAAATTATCTAAAAATATAGTAATAGGATGTAGTAGGACAGACATGGGCAGACCCTATAGCCAAAACCATTATACCTGTCCTGTTACTGGTAATAGGACATTTGAACCATTTTGACCCCGTAGAAAACAGAAGTCACGGGATTGATGGCAGTATCAAATGCTTTGATGGCGGCTGTACAAACAGCCAATGGGATCATTGGGGTGAGGATCTTCCCCCAAAATCTCGACCCTCGGATCGTTCTCTCAAAAGAAAACGCCCAAAGTTCGCCACAGCACGACGCCCAAACGAACACGTCCATTAAGTGGCGTTTTCCGAGGACGGTGCCTGAAATTTGGCGGCATCCAGGACCAACACGTCACACTCCTGCGGGGAACCGCCACGCCGTTCGTCCCAGCGAGATGAGGCACTGAAGTGGGAAGCAAAACGGGGAAGACTGGTGATGCGCCCAAGTGAAGATGACATTGAACTGGATGGTGCCATACTCGCGGGGGTTTTGGGGTGTTTGGGGTTCTACCAAAACAATCTGCAGTTTGGATGAGCCTTGGCAGAAAAGAATCTGAGACTTGGGGCATGGGCACCACCATCTTGTTGCAGGTTGAATCCGTCTGGAACCGTCTTGGGTCAACGATGGCCACTCCTCATGGCCGCCCCCCAAAACAACCTCTGCTCAGCTAAAAAACTCAAGGTTCATCGAACTATGAGTAGGTGGCAGCAAGTCCAGTTCTTCAGTGGTTCTGAGGCCGAGAATCCTTTAAAAAAGAGATGCGCCTCCTGAAAGCAATGTTTCAAGGCCTACCCAAGTATCCTATATACTCTATTACTTGAAGCATCTGTTCCAAAGTAAAACTTCAACCCCAAACCGCCGAGCCCCAAGCAGCCATGGTGCACACATGATCCCAATAGATGTTTGCTGCGCCGATCCCGCACACAACACCAGGAAAAACGGTCGACGCGGCTGTCCGTGACCGTGTTGCCAAGGCCGTTGTGCTGCCATTGAAGCCACAAGGAAGCTTCCGCGAGCCACGTGCCTGGTCCATGTGCCATGTGATGTTTTTTGTGATCTGATAGAACCTGACAACATCAAAAACATCTAAAGAAACGCAAGAAACCAGGCATCGTACATCTTTAGGCTACGTGCAGGTGACAGGTCCGTCAGATCCAAGAATTCCAAACATCCCCGGCCAAAACCACCTTTTTTCCACCCCAAATAAATCCAACACATCAAAAGGTTTCTCCCTATCCATTCCCATTCAACAAACATGTTTTCCTTCATGTTTGGGCCCCACTGGCCATAGACTCACCTTTCGGATTTGCCGCTCTCGCCGGCTCTCGCCTTCTTGGATGGTCACAGGGAGCGGTGAGAGCTGACGATCAGATTTGTAGTTCATACCTCGGAAGGTAGATAGAGAGAGAGAGAGAGATTGATAGAACGATAGGAAGACAGATAGATAGACACATAGAGAGACAAATAGATAGTCAGATAGACAGATAGAGAGATCGATAGATGGATAGATGGATAGACAGATTGATTGAAAGATAGATAGACAGACAGACACATAGATAGATAGGAAGATAGAAAGAAAGATAGATAGATAGACAGATAGATGGATAGATAGATAGTAGTTAGATTAGGTGGAAAGATAGTATATAGATAGATAGATAGATAGATAGATAAGTAGATATGATAGACAGATAGACAGATAGATAGATAGATAGGTAGATAGATAGATACATAGTAGTTAGATTAGGTGGAAAGATAGGCAGATAGATAGATAGATAGTAGCTAGGTTAGGTGGAAAGATAGTATATAGATAGATAGATAAGTAGATATGATAGACAGATAGACAGATAGATAGATAGATAGGTAGATAGATAGATAGATATATAGTAGTTGGATTAGGTGGAAAGATAGATAGATAGATAGGTAGATAGATTGATGGATAGATAGATAGACACAGAGAGAGATAGACAGATAGACAGACAGACAGATAGATTGATAGATAGACAAATATAGAGAGACAGAAAGATCGATAGATAGATAAGATAGATAGACAGGTAGGTAGGTAGATAGATCAACAGATAGATAGATAGAGAATCAGATAGATGAAAGATAGATAGATAAACAGATAGACAGATAGATAGAGAGATAGATGGAGAAACAGATAGAGACACATAGGTAGATAGATGGATGGATGGATTGATAGTTTTTTGCAGTTTGGCTCACTTTCCGGTTTGCAGAAGCTGTGGGGCACTCGACACCTGGTGCTTGTGTCGGCAAGCATCGCTTGCTTCGCCGCGGCGCACTTGAAGCCAAGAAGGCTTTGTAAAAAGTGACAGGCTCAAAGGAACAAAAACTGCTATAGTAGTTCCGCGCATGTTCCAAGAAAGAACAAAGGTGGTTTGAAAGGATGTGCTTCAACATCAGGTCATGCATGAGGGAGGCATGTGACATCTCGACCTCAAGGTGAAGAAAGAAAAATGAAAAGTTGCTCTCAGCAATCGGCCAGCTGCCCTGCCGCCATCCGCAAAAGCAAGCCAGTCATCAGCTGAGCTCATATGCAGCGCTTCTTCTCGCCAGCGCTAGTTCCATTCGCTCCAAAAAGGCACCTAAGCCACCTCGTCCATCTGGTGGCTCTGAAGGAGGGACATCAATTGCCGGGATGGCAAACATGGGCTTGGTCGTCGTCCTCTTGGAGAGAGCTGGTGTCATCATGGAGGCATTGGGCCCGGTGCAGGATGGCCAACTGGGAGTATACCACACATCGATGGCCCCTCCTACTGGACATGTTGCCACACTTGCTCAACGATGTAGGAGTCTTCTATTGACTTGGCTTGGGCCAGGATGCGCCGGTGGTCTTGGGATATATGTTGTTGAATGCCCCCGGTGGTGCAGAGAGAGAGCCTTCAGTCTCTGGCCATGTGAGAGGAACATGATCTCCCCGGTTGGCATTGAACGATTTGCACCCTGACTCAATATGTAATCGTAGGCTGAAGAATGAGGCCAGGGACTTGGTGCAATGACTGGAGTACCATCCAGGCAGTCCCGGCCTGGTTGGAAGTCATACCGTGATGAGGCAGCTGCATCTCGAGTGGTCCTCCTGCGCTTGACAGGATCCGGCACAGTGTTGCCAGCATCCGGAGGCTGAGGTACCATTGATTTCGGTGTGCCTGTCAGGACATCATCAACAGAGTAGCCATGTGCCGGATGGCGTGACAGTTGTGCTCAGTGCTGATATCCTTGCCACAAGCACTACACGGCTTGCAACCTCTCAAATACCCCATCACCCGGGAAAGGTGGAACTTGGACTCATTCCAGACCTCATCCGTTGAAGATGTGCAAGCAGGCCTTTACCCGTGTGAAAAGCTTTGTTGCAAAGTAGGCAGCAACCCCTGATCTTCTCCATCAAACCCGGTGAGCGCCTGCCATGCCTCCGTGGCCGCATGGGCCCTGAGATTGGGGAGGTCCACATAGGCCACCTGGCAAGATCGATCAGGTGAGAACTGGTGACAATTTGCATGCTCAATGTGGCGCTGAAGGCCTCTCCAGGTTGCCAGCTTGATGTGGCAGTGTCTGCGTTGTGGCATATTCCTCCTAGTGCATCACGAAGAAGAACGAATTTTTGTAGGATCGGTTTTGCTTTGTGTCGTTTTGACAGGTGCTGATTGAGATGCCATCTACAATTATTGCTGATATGGTCACAGTACGGGCACTCATGTAAATCAGCCGTGGTGGGCTGGGGTTCAGTCAAGAGTGATGCGTTGTCAAAAATCATCATGACCCTCTGTCTGTTACGGTCCGCAGGCACCAGATGAAGAAAGTCCGTGGCATCTCGGCCTTCGAGGTCATGCGCAAACTGGTCATAGTAGGCCCTCCACTGCTCCTTGAGAAAGGCCACTGGAGTGGTCAGTTTCACACGCTGGAAAACATGGTCCGTCTCATGTGTAGTGTGCTTAGGTGAAGGCGCCAAAGACCTGACATCCGCGTTCATACGGTTGCAGAGTGTGGAGTCCTTCTTGCGTCAATCCAGTAAAGGGCAAACCATGTCCGTATGCAAGAGGACCAAATACTGGCTCTGTCTTGACTGGACAATTTGCGCTTTCCCACAAACCACTTGCGGAGTCTGCGAAAGGCTGCAGTGCCAATGGATAGACGACGCTTTAAGGTGTATTTCTCAAATGCTCCGAATGAAATGCAAACCCCCAGGTATACGTGAGTGTGAACGAGCTTGATCCAAGCAACACCTGACCTGATTGTCTGCGAATTGCTACCCACTTGGAGCCATTCTGCCAAGCTGTGTGTCGTTTGAGTTGTGCTCGAGCTGCTTTACCAACTAGACGGAGAAGAATGACAGGTTTGTCCATGCTGATTGAATGGCCGAAAAACTCAAGAGCATCCATAACGCGAGCAACATGTTCCAACACACGCTGTAAATCTTGACTGCATTTGATTTCCCAGCGAAAAGTAAATCATCAGCTTAGGCAGCAGATGTTGCCGAAGCCAATCAGCAACTGTCAGATCTGTACCTTCCATGGTTTGCTGTCCAATGTACGTGATGACTCTGATGAGAAATGCATTCCATTCCAGTGGTGGTGCCTTGCACCCCTGTCTCACGCCTCGTGAGGTGTGGATCCAGGTTTGATCTCCTCGATGCTGGAGTTCATACCTGGCATCAACAAGCCAGTGGATCAGCACTGTTGCAATGTTGTCAGGACAGTGGCATCGTTGAAGTCCCCTTGCAAGTTCATCCCTGGGTAGTCGGTCAAATGCTTGTTTGAGGTCAAGTGACAGTATGATGCCGCCTTGTAGTTCATCTGAATGAGTTTGCTGTGGTCTCCAAGGGCTATATGATTGCCTGGCACAAAGTGTACGGATCTCCGCACAGAACGTGAAAACTGTAATCGGAGCCTCTGCAATGCTTCTTCCAGGAATATAGGCAAGTAGAGGAAAGGTCACCATTGTACCCACCCAACACAGCTTTCCCTATAGGGTCAGTGAGTGCAATGGGTCGTAGGTCTGTAGGCTTTTTGGCTTGACGTTTGGGAAGTAGTGATAACTTGGCATCTAACATTGTGGTATGTGGGCCTGGTAGTCCAGGTCGTGACCATGAAGGAATGAAGCCACCGTGCCAGGGGACTTGCCAGCGTCTTCACCAGTATGGCCGGCATGGAGTTGGGTGCAATGGGTTTGTTCGCTTTGGTCTCAACCAACGTCTTTCCAATTCATCAGGCGTGAGAACCAATGGAGTGGCCCAGTATAATGGCATGTCACCCTGTTCCGTCTGGAAGATGGCCTTGAAGTGGTCCTCCAGGATTTGTAACTCTTCTGCTGGTCCCAGGAGGTTGCCCTGACTTCCTCGTTTGTTTGGGGGTCAGGATGCGTATGGCCTCATACAGGCCTCTGGAGTCATGACAAGAAGCAGCACGGCAGGCCCAGTCTGTCACCTCATTCACTCTCTCTTTCCTCCTCTGTTTGCTGTATTGTAAAAGTCTTTTGTGTGTACTGTGAACTTTACAAAAGAAGAACCAGGAGTGAAGGCAACGTTGCACAACGTTTAACTGTTTGACCTCCGTGAAGTGCTCCTAGCCTGACGGAGGTACATCCACTTGTCGGCCACTAAGGATTGGATGTTGTCTTCAATCCACAATGGAACCTTTGAGCTAGGTCGGGGTGGAATCCAGTTCTTGGTGACACTGTTAATCCGTCCTAGCAAGTCCGGGAAACTCTGAGTTCCAGCCTGGTGAATGATGTGCTCAGTTTGTTGGATGAGATTGCACCAAACATCACTGTTGCTCTTCTGCTCCTGTGCCAGTGGTTGTTTGTTGCAATGACTAAACCATTGGCTTCTTGTGTTGGGAGATTGAAGCCACACCTTCCAGTCCAGTGGGATGGATCCCACCAGTGGTCGATGACCAGGGTAATCGCTGCGTGCAAGCAATGGAAACTGGGTCACACACTTGGCGCTCTGGACCAGGATTCTGTTGAATCCATGCTGCGAGACCCACCGCATAAGCTCCCAGTGGAAAGGGAACCACAGTTCCAGGAAAGATGGAGGCTCCGGTTCCCTCGTGTCATAGTCCAGGGGACTATGAAGGTTCATCCACAGAGCAAGCAGCGGGTGCACTGAGATACACGTGGCCGTGAGTCACTTCCCTTGGTATCTGATGCCACATATGAGTAGATATGTGTCTTTTCTGGCCGCTCCGTCTTCCAGTACAAAACTTTCCGTCCCACAGGAGAGTCGACTGGGTCACTCTGGCAAATCACCTCTGTCGTGCCATCTGCTGCCACCTTTGCATCGAAGGTTTGAGCAAATCAGACAGTGCTGGTGAACACATGGCCACCTGGTGGTTGTATGCACTGCTGTAGCAGAAGTGGCCTGATGCTCTCTGATTCTCATCAAGTCTTCCGTAGGACTCCGGTCACTCTCAAGCACCAAAGCCTTATATAGTCGTGCTCATTGAGAGTCCTCCAAAACTCACCACGTTCTCCGTCTCTGTCCATCGTCTCCTGAGTTGTGAAGGACTGGATCAAATAGCATGAGTCTCCTGCTACGTACTATCTCCACTGATCCGCCACTGAGAGCACAGGTTGCATGGAACAGCTCTGTGGCTGCACCAGCCAGTAGGCACTCTCCCTTAATGAACAAGGAATGCCTTTTCTCTGGTGTGGCCATTGCCATCGGTGCAAGGGAGATGTTCCTGGGCACACCCACCCGTCATCATCCACATCAGCTGTCAGCGGCTTCGAATGGAAAGCATTCGTCATCTCCGACATGAAGTTCCGCACTGCAACATTAGTTATAGCAGAAGTTGACACAATAGACCTCATGCCATCACGTCAGGATTTCAGCACATCGTACAAGTCCTTCTTGGCAGACATCTTCTTGATTTGAGACAGGTATAACATAGCTTTCTGGAGTCCCGGATAGACTCAGCAGCCTGCTCCTCTCCTTTTATTGCCAGCATCAGCTTCCTGACTCCTGTGAAGAATAATGTGATGTCATTGAGGTCTCCTTGCTTCGAAGGTACATTGCCAGATGTCTCACACTCCAGGGCCACATCAAGTAGCCCAACGCCGACCAATATAGATGGATAGAGAGATAGAGCTATAGATAGATAGATAGATAGATAGATAGATAGCTAGATAGCTAGATAGCTAGATAGCTAGATAGCTAGATAGACATAGATAGACATAGATAGACATAGATAGACATAGATAG